CCCCCCGCCCCCTGTCCTCTCACTGACAACCTGTCCAGTGACAAGTGGTTGCTTTCCAGGGATCAAGCCAGGCTGATGGCACTTAACCATCGTCAATAGCTTTTGAACACTTAACAGTGGGATAAACCCTTGTCTAAACTCTTGGTATACATTATCAAAGCCAAGAGGTAGGTGAATACTATTAGAGTCCCTAGCTTACAATAAATGGGAGATTATGTGACCTGTCAAGGTCACATGTAAGAAGTAATAGAGTCAGGATTTGAACTGAGGGCATTTGAATCCAGAGTCCATGCTCTTAACTTGTGCTAAGAATATAGCTTCCCAGAGGGGAGACCTAGAACCTGAGCATTCTTTCAGAACTTCTCTGGCATACAGGGCTTCTTAGGAGACAAAGGGAGCAATGCTGTGGCCTCGACATAGAGGGGATAGTAGAGGGAGGGCCCCCCAAACCCAATTGCTTCCCTTTTTCCCTATTTGAGGTCTCTGGATCCTGAGAGCCTCAGAGGAATCCCAGGCCAGATCGTCTCCCACTAATTGGCTTAGCAAGCCATGCTTATCCAGGCAAAGCTGGGGCCCAGAGAGTTCAAGATTAGGGAAAGCAGGATTCACAGCTTACTGCTCTGCTGCCCACAGGGTCAGAGGAGGCAGGGTTAGGACTTTAATTGGCTTAGCCTTCAGTAGCTTACCAGCTCAGAGGGTTGAGGGGCGGGAGAGGGATGAAGATGTAGGTGCATCCAGTCCACAGCCAGCTTCATGCCCCATCAAAGAATCTTCTCTCAGAGAAGATCTTACTTCATTCTGTCTGCACAGAGGCATTGCTCTGGGATCCTTCAACACAGCCAGTGTGGTACTGGAGATAGCGCTGGACTTGGCAGCCAGACACAGCAGAGTTGGCACCTCACCTCTCCCCCACTTCCTCGGGCAGTGACCTTGGACAAGTTACTCAACTTCTGGAAGCCCCACTGTGCTAGCTAATAAATGGGTATATTGGTAGCCACCAGAGGGGAGGTTTCAGGGTAAAATGCAATCACATTCCTGGAGCCTCCCACTGGGGCCTTCTAAGACATGGTGTCCATAAATTCCTATCCCTTCTCGCTTTCTGGGGCTTCATTTTTATAGTTAAAATAATAACAAAATCTTGGAACTGGCAGGTGGCGTGGTGGTTAAAGGTGCTGGACTCCTACATGGCTGACTGTAGTTCAAATCCTGGACCTGGTGGCTTGCTTTCTCACTTTCCCTCTATCTAATCAAATTGGAAAATAATAATAATAAATAAAATTAAATTAAATAATTATTTAAATAATAATAACAAGATCTCATGTGTGAAAGAACCTGTATCAATTGTGAAGAGCTAGACCAGAAGTTACAAAGAAGACAAGTTCATGAACATTTTCTTTGATTGTTAACCACTCTGCCAAGAATATAGCTTCCCAGAGGGGAAACCTAGAGCCGGATTAACTATTTTTAAAAAACCTTAATTGGTAGTTGAAAATGGGGAGAGTTCAACAAAAATCCCATTTCTCTTGAGACATCAGCTTGACAATGTCAGGTACTTATTTCTCATAGCTGGGGCTGAGTAATGGCTTCTCCTTGTCTAGGACACCATGTGCCCTGTAATAACCTCTTGTTTGACACTTGAGGTACTTCATGGTCTGTCTTAGCTGGCTAGCCCCTCAAAGCATTTGAACGTTCTATTTGGCATTGTCCAAGACTCAGGAGTTGAAAAATATCTTTATGATTAACTTACTTTATTCAGAATGGTTTTAGCTCTGGTAATAGACCCAGAGCCAGAATCCCAGAAAAGAGACAGTTCTGATGGTCCTCAGTTCTAATCTTCTCATTTCACACACAGGGAAACTGAGGTCCAGAAATGGGAAAAGCTTTACCCAAAGTCACCTAGCAAACTAGTTATGAACCAAGATGAAGCTGTAAGTCTGACCGTAACCTGCCACCCCCACCCCCAGACACATGGTTCAATTCCTTCCCCCTCTTTTCACATTCTTATCATAATGCAACAGAAGCCCCGACTTTCTATCATCCTGGAATCTTGTACTCTCAGACTCATCATTCTTGGAGCTTAGGGGACACTATAGTGGCAGAACTGCAAGGTGGAGAAATTGAACTTGAACTTTGAAGGCAGAAAGTCTTGAGTCCAGGCTCATCCAGGCCTAGCTGTGTGACCTTGGGCAAGGATGCTTCCTCTCTGAGCCTCCAGTCCCTCCTCTGAGGAGCAGGAATTAGAAAACTAACCACATGACGGGACCATTAGGAGAGGTACAGGAGACAGGGCAGGTAAAAAGACAATCAGTAGGCTTGGCATGAAGCGAGTGTTTAATAAAATAACCATTACAGAACTATAAATTAGGGCCCTTATGCCCAAGTCAAATGATCCAGTGTGATTAAAGGAAAGGATGGACAAACAGGAGCACATATGTCCTTTCTACATTGTTACACACCTGACCCTGCCAGATCCACTCTCCCCACCCCTCCACGGTAAGCTAGGACTCCGTTTTTGTTTGTTTGTTTGTTTGCTTTTTATTAATACTATACAAAGCACACAAACATTTCTGTAGGCCACATTCAGCCCAAGGGCCCTTAGGTTGTTATCCCTTCAAAATCATCTCGTCCCAACTCTCACTTTACAAATGGGGCTAGTGGAAATAGCAGCCTTTTTTTATGGAAGAGAACTTGGAGTTTAGAGACTCTTAACCATTTCAGCCACTACCCTAAGACCACCCACCCACCCTCCAACACACTCACCACCATTACGTTGGTCATTTTATGCCCTATTTGAGAGAAACCCAGTCTGTGTTCAAGAAAGAAGTATTCGCTGCTTGTAGAAGGATTTTGAATGGAGAGATAGCCTGTGAGTTGAAGGGCGGCTGGCCCACTCTAGGCCAAAGGAAAAGGGGAATGAAGCTTTGGCTACCAAGAATAGGAAGTTACCATTTCAGAATCTAAAAATATCTTTTACCATCTGTCCACTCGGGCACAGAATGATAAATGCAGATTAGTTCCTGGATGTAGATGTGAATGTTTTTATGTGTCAACCTAATAATAATAACACCACCTTGTATAGAGGGAGCTCCAACCATTCTCCCCCCCAAAGACAGCTACATAGAATAGACACATAGTCTTGGCAGGCATATGTGGAGAAACCAAGGCAGAGAGAGGTTTGACAAACACAACAAGGGTGACACAGCAAGTGAGCAGCTGGGACAAACCCTGGGAGTCCTGTTTCCAACCCTCAGCCCAGAACTGAATCCTCCGAGTTAGGCAGAATGTGTTAACAAGTATCAAAATAAATATAACAACAGCAATAATCACCCTTTTTATCACTAGAGTGACTTTTGCCATGCTTTCCCCGCATTTGTTATAATCAGGATAATGTGTCACATTCCTAAAATATGCCACAGTGTGCAGAGTCTTCACACAGATGGTCTCTCAACTGACCATCCCACCAGATAAGTAAACAAATACTGTGAGAAGAATAGGGGGTTTTGCTCATTTCACAGGTGAGGAAACCGAGGCTTGGAGAGAGCAGGTTTGCCTAAAATCACATAAGCAAGTTCATAAGCTACTAAGCAATTTGGGCCTAAGAGGAGCCCTGGGTATAGAATCACCCCTCTCCCCAATTAAATCAACCCAGCAGGCACCCTCAGTCTTGGCTGGGGAAGGAACTTGGAAGTGGGCAGCTTGAACACAGCTTCCGTTTTGCCCTACCATCCTGAGATTAAAGGCCAGCTAGTAGCCATCTAATCTCGGATTCAAGATTCCAAATCTCCTCGCTCCCCTCCTCTCTCTGTTGAAAGGGGAGGGTGCTAGGGAGTTGTCAGGAAGGAGAAGGAGCCAGAAAGCTTCCCAGCTGGGTCCAGCATACCCTTTCCCAAAAAGCCCAAGAAGTTTAGGCGGGATATTTGTTTAACTGCCTCAAATTCTTTCTCCCTAAGAGGTCGAGAATGGGCTGCGATCAGAACTGAGAATCTTAGAGAGCAGGGAAGGACTTCTTGGATCTTTCCTAAGCTCAGACACACAGATAGAGGAGTCGGGCAAGGCTGTAGAGAGCCCTGGGCCTCTTGAGCCCCAGGCCCTATGCATTCACACACCCCCTGAGGATCTCTTTCTCTCCCTTCTAGTCCCGACCCCTCCCCTCTCAACCCCAGATCAGAGCGGGTGGTACGGGGGGTTGGTCATGGTTTAGGGGCAGAAGTTAGGGAGGAGCCGACTGAGAAGATATCAGAGCTGCAATGGGGTGGGGCGGGGCGGAGGTCAGCACTGGAGGGTCCTGAAAGGTCAGAGCAGGGTTGGGGCAGCAGGTACCCCCTCGCCACCCCCACTGCTCGGACTCGGCTCCCTCCACCTGCGCTTCTCCTACCTCCAGACCTGGCCGAGCTGCAGGAGGTGGACGAGGGTCTGTAGCAGCCAGACGCAGAGGCGGCAGCAGCGGCGGCGGTAGGCGCTGGCTGAGGAGGGCGCGGGCTGGGGGCCCAGTTCGGGGCTGCCTTCCTTGGTCCTGAAGGCGACGGCGCTGTCCTTGGTGCTGATGGCGGCTCCGCCGGTGCCGCTGTCCTTGGTGCTGACGGCGGGTCCCGGGGCCCCCGCGGGCTCCGTGTAGTCGTAGACAAACCAGCGGAAGCTGAGCAGCTGCACGACCAGCGAGGGCAGGAGCACGAACAGCAGCGTGAGGCCGAAGTAGGTGGGCTGACCCTCCAGGTCGTAGGAGG